GACTCTTACCTTTGGTGGGTTTTAGGATACAACTAAACAATTTGTGGGACGATAGGTCCCATCAAGTAATTACCTCGAGCCTTAGTATCGTAACCATGTTCGGTAGAGGGGACGAACTGTAGTCCGCTGAACAACACGGTTGGTAGACTGAGGGACCGTCTAGTTCCGGGTCGACGAAGGTATGGCGGATGTCGGTCCGTGAATGAGTCCGTTGGTGCAGAAAGCCGCGATCACGACCACGGCGGATCATCTGTTGACTTTCGCAACATTGGATGTGGTGAGATCGAGCTGAACATGCGGTAGGTGCAGTTCTGACACGCTGCTGGAACGTGATAGAGAGGGAACGCTCTGGTTTCCCTTATTAGGAGTTTGTTGACCTGACGAAATCTCTATTATTCTCCTGGTAATATGTTATTCCTCGTGTCCGTGTGACACTTGATTACTCAAATGATCAAGGTTTGTGCACCACCTTTCTACCGCATTTCGCGAGGTTCAAATCATCACGTACAGTTTTTACAGGAGGATCATAAGTTTGTTCTTCTTTTACATAATATGACCATAAACATCGGAGTGCTTTAATAAAACCCTTTAGTAATGTTTGTGAATATTCACCTAGACGCGTAGACTGTCGTATAGTGTACAAATAGTTTTACTAAGATGCCCTCACTCACGACACAAGCTACCATTCTTTTTCCCTTGCCCGTTGGATTTTCTAGAATTGAACAGTTCAATCGCCAAAAAAATTTTCATATGCGTCATACTTCATTTTCAGTGGATCCAAACATCACTCAAACTAATAGGGCTGATTTGGTACCTTGTTCATGCAAGTATTCAAGCTAGTGTATAGACTCAAACATGCATCAAGAAATCTATTCTACAAAGATGTATTAGCAATGCAACATCTCCAATTTCATATCCAAATGTGAGTGTGATACTGACTTAGATGTAGCAAAATTATTATAATTAGATCTTTGTTTAGATTACAAAAAATAGATTTCAATTATGTAATTATGTATCAATTGTTATGTCATAAAAATGTCATAACTTAATGTACAAAATATTTATCTGCATTGCCATCAATTCAAGTTATGATCACTTCTTTATGAAATCAATGTTTACTAAAATATACTTGGATATATTTTCACTACATGTAAATTGCCCATTTTTCGTACGATTATTGAAGTATGATGATGACACTTGGTCTTTCCTAGTTTGTTGGTATGAAAATGTTACTTAGGTTCAAAATAACATAAGCTTAGTGGCGATGACAAAATTGCTAAGTTTAGACTAACATAGAGGGATTGAGACCAACCATGATAATAAAGTTTCAAAAGAATAAGACTTTACGTTAACATAAAATGTAATCCAGATAAAATTTTATCTGATCGAAGTAAACATACGAATATAATGTACTTGAGACTCTAGAAACACCGTTATCTAATTTTCTGGTGATCGATATTTGTTGTATTCGTCAAAATCTCTTTTCAATTTGAATAATATATTAAAAAGTAATAAATATAAGCATCAAGTGATTAATTGTCTAGTTTTTATTCTTTTATGATATATTATCTAGCATAGATTTTGATATTTGATCACACATACAATTTTTCAATAGTGAAATTATGAACATAAGAATATTGATGGTTATATTTTTCAGCACTTTGATTTGATATCATCAACATTCTTATAAAAGATTAACTTCTGTAAATTTAATTGCTAGATACATTATATATAATTTTATTTCAAATGAAAAAAAAGTTCAGTCACTATTTTATTTTTATTTATGTTTAATGAATTGATAACATGGTATCAACTCTTTATTAAAATTATTTTTATATATTGAATTTCCTATTTAATATAAATATCAATTTTAATAGGATCCAAAATCATTGTCATTGTTTAAGTTCCACTTTCAGCGTCTGAATGTATGTTCTATAAAATAACTAAACGAAATATCAAACTGTGTCAATCTCAATATAGGTTCACATTGACAATTTTAGTTTCATTTGCAAAAAGTATTTGGAGCTGTGATAACTTGTGAGTTCTTTATCTAAACTATTGCAACTTATTTGTGAAACATCGACAACAGAAATTCATTACTAATAAATTTTTTTGATAGAACAAAAATGAGCTAAAAAATGGAAGCACTCAAATGACTACGATCTTTCAAATGAAGTATCAAAGTTGAAAAATAAAATTAAACATAGATTTTATTCAGGAAATTAAAATTTTTGTGTGAGACTTTTGAAGTTAAAGTCTATTTGAAATATTTAAAAATTTGAGTTTTCATTTAAATTTAGATCAATGTCTATATAAATTTGGGTTGAGTGCAAGGTGAAAGGTAAGATTTGTGTGTAAAAATTGAAATTGCGATCACAAGCTTTATAGAATAAGTATGATTTTCGCTTCATAAAATGAAATTTTGTGAAATTTTCTAATAGCATCATAAAAAAATGTTACAATGAGTTGTAAATTTTCAATGAAATTGTTTTTGAATGGAATATGGTGATGGGAGATTTTGAGCGAAACAATTCACTAAGATATTTAATGAAATCAGTTAAAAGCTAGAAATTCATGATTTTTGAGAGGAAAGTGAAACAATTCAACGTGACAAGTTAAAAAATATTCAAAAAGCTTAATCATCATTCATTCTACAAAGTTTGAGTTAGAATATTCAAGATGTTCAAAGATAAAACTCTACATAAATTTCATCATACTTTGTCCGTTTAAATTCAAGGTCTCATGAAATTAGGAATGCCACTCATAATGGCATCCATTCAACATACTAGAGTGCCAAAAATATCACCTTTTACTCTATTCTCATTATTATGATCATATCATAAAGAGTATGCTGTAAATCCGTCGTAAAAGGATGGCATACGGTGAATGTTTCTTAGGGTATTCCAGTAATAAACGGAAGTTCAGTTATACATGGAAAAGATATTCAAATGCAACAGGATATTGGAAAGTGCGATGGGGTCTTTCATCCGTGTTTGAGATATTACGCCGACCTGCATATCGTTGTAAACCCTCGTTGCATACTTTGACCTCAGCTGGCGTCTAATGGAAGTTTGGCTCCAGAATCTATGGTTGCAGTGAGCTAGGCAGAGGACTGTGCCCAAGATTGCGAGCTGGTGATCGTGCAGTTGCACGTCCCGGCGATCGAGCAAGTCAATCTCGCCAACGCAGTGTGCTGCGAAAACCTTGCGAAGCGAAGCGAAGCTTCATCGATCGTTTCTCCATCGATCGCAGCTATGATGAACAAAGACCCCAGATCTAAATCCGAGCTATTTGCAGGGCACACGCTTCTCTTTTTATGGAAAAAGCCCCATGAGACCAGAAAGAAGGCTACCATGCTTTGATGCCTTGGCTCTCTCTGTTGAGATCTTCCCACTTTCTGGACGGACTGCTTGCAGGACTTCGGGAAGACCCACGAGGCGCCCGTTGCGCTGGGTGACCGAGTCAGGATCCAAATGTCATCTGCACAAGCGAGCCTTCGTTCAGCCATATTATATTTGTTTCTTAGAAGTACATAGAGGCTCACTCATATTTTATAACTCTTGCACCTTTTGAAGGAACTAGTGTTTTGCTCACTGATTTACTCACTTCTATTGCCCGAACAGGAAGTGGTATGGCGGCATACTTCTCCCAGTACTTGCAAATCAGCGAGTGGGCACATCACATGTAGCATAAAGTAGGGGTTTTCTAGATACGCCTGGAATATTCCGCGTCCAAATCTAGGACATATTTTGAGGGATGGAACCTTGCATGTCAAAGTGACCGAGTAGCTCTTCCACAACGAGAAAAATTCGAGCCGCATGAGTTACACGACCGCCACACGAACTGGCAAGAATATTTCGAGTTCTTTCGATGAGGAAGTCCTGTAATGAAGTTTTCAAAATCTGCCAATGTTAACGCATTATATCAGTGAAAGTAAAATCTTTATGAAATCGAGGGATAGTAAGACCCATCGAGTAGCACAAATGTGAAACCATAGGAGTAAGATGTGGCTAGCCTCAGTGACATTTGCGATGAAAAACACATCATATTGTGTCTAAGATATCTCAATCGGCTAGATTAAATCTACATATGCACACCACTATGAAATAGCGTTTTAAATTATACAGAAGAAAAAGTATAATTTTTTTAAAATATTTTCGGGATATCTAAAAAATGTGATAATAGAAAGTTTGAGTAGGCGTGATATGATCGCACTGTGCTTTATAAACATTAATGCCGAATACCTTAACAAATTCGTCACAGAGACAAGAAGATCTTGATGAGAATCCTCCCACATTAAACAAATAGACCTAGGTAGTTTCATGTATAGATGCCGGAGACAGCTACCTTTACCGAAAAGCGTACCTTCACCAAGAATCATGAGGCGTCATCATAGGGAGAATGAGAATCAATGGTTTGGTGGCGGGTTGCGAGAATTATTATTTTCAAATTGGTTGGTTGCAGTACTCCCTCCACTCCACTGTTCTCTTCATTAAATAGATTTTCCCATACAACTACTAACTACTAGGACACAACAGAGCTTTGTTCAATAAACTCCTTTCCCCATCACCTGTTCCTTTTATCTGTAACCTGCAACGCACCTTACCCGAAAATATCCAGCATAGCAGCTCGCTCAAGACTGAAACTGAGGTCGAAAACTCGCAGAGCGACTTTAGTTTCCTGCCTTAGCACAACCACACGAAACGATTAATCAAACGTTTCATCCGGTATTTCCCAATTTTTTTTGTTCACGCGATGGACCTTGTGGTATGGGATGGAGCCAAAAATATTGTTATGATCGCCAGACCCATTAACTTATTCTTGGACGAGCTTCGTTTCCAGAATCCATCAGATCATAATTTTTTTTTCTCTAGAAAAATAAAAATAAAATAACAATGAAATTTAATATGAACCTAAAGATTTTTCAAAGCAGTACAAAAAATATAATAATTTTTAATCAACAAATTATCACATTTTCTTTTAGTTATTAAAAAAAAGATGTCATCTTCTACGAGTTAAAGTTGTGTCCTAAGTCCCTGTTGCGCAGAGCAAAGGCTGGAGACTCTCTGAGAGCTGCGACCGAGACAAAGACCGAAGCAATGGCGACAAATTAGTGACCCAGTCAGACTCGACTGCAGTCGCGCAATCAGTTGACTTGTAGTTGAGGCTGCGATCGTCGCCAGTGAGGTCCCGCGTTCTGAGGATGGGAAACCGCCGGGCCACGGAGCGGGGAAGGGCTACTAAACGTGAGCACATGCTAGACCTTCGCTGAGAGTATCGGTGAGTGAGATCGATCGGGCACTCTGCTTCTTCTGCTCCTCCGCCTCCATTCATTCCTTCTTAACCCTCTGTCGTTTCCATTTGTCCTCTTCCGAGTCCCTCCATAAATCAGAGCTCCGGGAGCTCGATCGATCGATAGATACTCGGTTGTTCTGCGCACTTTCTTGTCTCTCACAACAGTCGGCCACCATCTTTCGGAGAGAAAGAGAGTCCAGCATCGCGATCGGGCGAGTAAGAAGCTGCCGGTCGTGCATGACAGGAAGAATCGACCGCATCGCAGGCAGGCGCAGAGATCTCTCGTTGCGCCGAGGGCCGTAATCCCCCGTCGAAGTCGGGCATCGAAGGCGGTCGCTCGAATTGCCCAAGAGGCTCGTCGTCGGTCGGTCATGGGGCCCTCGGCAGGTCTGGCATTCGCGGACTCGGCCCTCGTCGCGCCGGGGGCGCTGAGGACATCGGCCCTGGGCAATTGCGCCCGCCGAGAGCAGGCCAGGCCGAGGCCGAGGCGAGTAGCGTGGCGAGGCGCAGCCTACGACGTGTCCGAGGGCTCGTGGCGCGCGGGCGCAACGAGCCCGTACCTGGATGCGACGGCGGGAGCGCAGGGGCGAGCAGCGCAGTGGCAGACGACGTGCGCGGTGCTGTCGGGGCAGTGGGCGACGGCGCAAGTGGAAGAGCAGCAGCAGCAGCAGCAGGGGCAGGAGCAGGAGCAGGAGCAGCAGAGCTTCGACGAGGGGATGGGGATGGGGATGGGGATGGTGGGGCGGGGGCTGGTGACGCTGCCGAAGCCGCTGGCGGTGGTGGACCTAGCGCTGCAGCCGAAGCACAACTCGCAGATCCGGGTCTCGTACCAGGGCGTGCCGGGCGCATACAGCGAGGCGGCGGCAGGCAAGGCGTACCCGAACTGCGAGGCGGTGCCGTGCGAGCAGTTCGACACGGCGTTCCAGGCGGTGGAGCTGTGGCTGGTGGATCGCGCCGTGCTGCCGATCGAGAACTCGCTGGGCGGCACCATCCACCGCAACTACGACCTGCTGCTGCGCCACCGCCTGCACATCGTGGGCGAGGTGCAGCTGGCCGTGAACCACTGCCTGCTGGCGCTGCCGGGCGTGCGCACGGAGGATCTGGTGCGCGTGGTGAGCCACCCGCAGGCGCTGGCGCAGGTCGAGGGCACGCTGGCCAAGCTGGGCGTGGCGCGCGAGGCCGTGGACGACACGGCTGGTGCGGCGCAATTCATCGCCGAGCACAACCTGCGCGACACGGGCGCCGTGGCCAGCCGCCGCGCTGCGGAGATCTACGGGCTCGAGGTGCTGGCCGAGAAGATCCAGGACTGCTCGGACAACGTGACGCGCTTCCTGATGCTGGCGCGCGAGCCCGTCATCCCGCGCACCGACCGCCCCTTCAAGACCAGCATCGTGTTCACGCTCGAGGAAGGCCCCGGGATGCTGTTCCGCGCGCTGGCCGCCTTCTCGCTGCGCGACATCAATCTGTCCAAGATCGAGAGCCGCCCCCAGCGCAACAAGGGCCTGCGCGTGGTGGACGACAGCAACCACGGCACGGCCAAGCACTTCGATTACCTCTTCTACATCGACTTCGAGGCGAGCATGGCGGATCCGCGCGCCCAGTACGCTCTGGGCCACTTGCAGGAGTTCGCCACCTTTCTCCGCGTGCTCGGCAGCTTCCCCATGGATGTGACCGACCCCCAGAGCTAGTGATTCCTCGTCCGCTGTTTTCTCGATTCGGTGGCGGGTGCGTGCCTTCCCCCTCCGAAGCACCTTTTGTACAGATCGACGGAAATGTCCAACGCCGGGGCTCCGCATCGGACTGTCGAGTGCTGCCATTCTGCACATTTCTCCCGGGCCCCCTCGGGGTGCGGCGGCGGGTCGAATTGCGTGTCGTCGAGGGTCTGTTCGCCTCGAGAAATGCCAGCGATCGTCCAGCATCGTCTGTGTGTGAGTGTGTGCGTCTGCTCGGCATCTCTTTCTAGCGTAGTCGCAGGGGACTCAGGGCGAGAGTGGCTGGAATGAATCTCTCGGGAATGGAGCCGTGGCTGCAACGAGCACGCATCTAATGGAGCAGCGCATTCCAACCTGACCGCGGTCCCCATCCTGTACAAACTTTTGTAGCAGAATAAGCAAGCTCTAAATCTTAGGTATTGATTTAGGTATTGATCCCACCGGGGCTCAGATGGTATCGTATTCTTTGGCCCTGCCCATTTGCCAGGTCCCATCCATGTATAACACCGAATTGTCACAGTACGAAAAAGTAGGACACCCTCATAAAGGCCAGAAATCAGTTGATAGCCATATAGGTCGTGTAGATGAAGTCCTCATAGCATAGCAGATCTCTCGTAGTCGCAAATATCAACTGGCTTCTGAGACTGCTGATCGGCAGTAGATTCGATGATAACACACTTGCGTGTGTGGAATCGCTTTGTACACTGGAAGGAGGTTCCTCATCGCAAACGAAATTGGGGAGATTAATCCTCTCTACACGCGAGCTTGTCGATCGACTGTTGGTTGGATGGATGCCATGCCGTACGTGCGTGCGTGCCTCACATGTTCCGAAATCGATCGGAGTGCAGGTGGCGGTCGTCGTTGTTTGGAAACTAGTGTACGAGCTCATTGACGGTGCTCTCCGATCGTGATCGTGCTTCTGATCATTGTCATCACAGAAGAATGTGCTTTGGTACCATCAGTTGCCACGAGCTTGTTCAGTTATGTCAGAGCTGCGATAGCTTTAAATTTCGTCCGAGACATGTTCATGAGAGATCTCGTCAATTCTCACAGGAGCATTCTGACAATCCACGAAGCACAGAACAAGTCGATCGATCGAGGTCAGCTATGCGCGCAATCTCCGGAAGAACGAGCGCAATCTCGAAGTACTGGCTTGAGAATGGCGGAAGTGTCGACCACTTCGGCGGGATTCTGTTCGCGTCATTCGGAGCCAAGGATGACGTCGAGTGCAGAGGCATAGCGGACGCTCTTTCGAGGCCGCGCGTCCCAAGGCAACGGCGCTCGTGAGCTCTGTGGCCCCGCCCGAGCTCACCACCCATCGTCCCTTTCCTCGCGCTTTGCCCGAAAACGACGCAGCATCTGCTCGCGAAGGTGGTCCCTGACCGAATTATCTTTTCTAAAAGGTGCCAGAGGCAAATCGGAGAACACACTTTGACAGCAAATGGGCCTCGCGTTGCAGCCCGCGCCGGAAATTCTGCCGAAGGAGCTTGTTCTGCGCACACGCAGAACAAGCTCAGTATATCCTCATTATACAAGATCTGATGGCGACCTATGATGATCGATCGAGCGTGTGCAAATTTCGCCTATTGTCCTATGCTTGCCAGCATTGTCATTCTGATCGGAGGGCCGAGCTCGGGTCTTGTCTATCCTTCTTCTTAGCAGCAACCGTGGTATTAGCTGACAGGTTATCCACTTCGCAGAGCTGAAGTTGGGATTGGGTCCTTTTCTAAATTGGGCCATGCAGCTTTGACTTGGCGGCATCCATGCTCGCTCCGATTTGTCGGCTGGGAGTGTGCTAACCGCCAGCACATGGACCGCCCGCAAGGTCGTTCCTTCTCGACGCCGCGCAAGATTATCGGACGCGGACGACCATATTCGCACGAGGGTGATCGGAGTGAGTGAGACCATGTCTTTTGTGCCGCCAGGGTCGAGAGTGCCACAAGTGGCCACTTGTTGTCAGACTCTTCGCGGGTCTTAAATGTCTCGTGTCCTGGAGCGAAATGTGACCGCCATGTTCATACTTGAGTGCAGGTTCTCAAAGGGAAATCCCGAGACCGTCGAAGAAGCAATCGATTCTTCGAGTTACCAGCTTTTCGTGGAGCGTTGATGTTGCGAATGTAGCGTAGCAGGCACTGATCATGCAAGGCTTGCTTGCATCTCTAAAATGAGTTTCAGTCCTCGAGCGCCGTCGAGGTAATGGACCGACCAGTCGATGCGAACCGTGAAAATGGGAAACTTGAGCCAGAAGTCACCGGAGCACTTTTGCATGTTCCTTCCCAGACAGTATGCTGGGAAAGTTCTGATGTCGTCTGGTACATTGCTTCTGGAATTGATATTCCCACATCCTAAACCTCCTCCGTCAACTGTCAGGTCTTGCTTATAGGGAAGTGATCAATGGCGACACGAGAGTGCAGCCAACGCACAACTGGGACTCGTATTGCTCTCTGTTTCGATTTGGACTTGCAACTTCTCATCTCGCTTGCAATGCTTCGTTCCTGGATCAAACATCAGAGGATTACGTGACCAACATATGTAAAAGAAGTGAGGAATGATAGGAGTAGTGCCCATCATCCGTCCAATATAATACTCGATTCGCGACTTCACTCTCCTCCCATTTGGAGCTGCATGATAGTCTGTAGGATCGAACGGACCACGAGTAATTTTACATCGCTAGCCTCGGCTGGAAAGACGGCCTGGAATCTAGGCCCATCAATCTGCCTACAGACTAAAAGAGAACCTCAACATCATTTTGAAGCAAAAGCTCCACTCCTGAAAAGCGAGAAAGCGATATTGAGGTGTAAAACGCCTCTTTGCTCGAGTCTTTCGGCGATCGAGCAATTTAGACACTAACAACATCCGCAGATGGAAGATATACCAAAGCTTTAACCGACTGGAGCTTTCAGACTGTCTGCACAGTTTGGCTCCCTCTACCTCCTCAACATGGTCCCAGTCTCCACTAATCTGCTGGACGAAGCCGAAATCAACCATCAACCAGCAATCATAAAAACAGCTTTCTTCTAGCTCACCTTCTTTCGTGCTCTCTGAGAAACAAGGTACAGTTCTGCTTTGGCTTCAAGATCTATCTACTCGACTGTGTCCCCCGTTGACTTTGGCGTACAGATCGGTCCCAATGACGATCCACACAGATCAGAAGCTATGGTTGCCTGCCTTACCCACATCATGTCTTGCACAGAGACAGACCCAAGAGGGCGGGTAGTAACTGACTGTCTAGCCTTCGCCTGTAAAAGTCATTCACTAGAGTACAATTAAAAGGGCAATTGGTCGAGAATCCCCCTGAAAGCAGAAGCAAACGGAGAGAGGTCTACACTCTCACACAAATCACCGACTTCATCAATCTGTCCGGAAAATGGGTACTGATGTTCATGAGGTGACCTGAACAAGCATCCCTATGAAATCAGGATGCGAACGCTTGTACTCTAACTAATGTGTTCAGGAATATTCTCACGGTAAAGCGGTTTTCTGAGAAAGAAACCAAACTCTGCATTTTGTGAGGGTTACCTGGTGGCCAAGAGTCCTCAGCCACCATGGTTTTAGGTTCAAAAGTGTGTCAAGGGTCAAAGATAATATATATTCATGTTGATGAAGTTACAGTCTCAGATGTACTACTTATTGATCGCTTACAATTATCGTTTCAGCTCATTTCAAGTATTTTGGATTGCTAGGTAGAGGATTTTCATAGATATTCCACACATTCCTCAACACTAGATTATTACTTCTGCAGTGGCATATTCTAGAAATTCTAAAAGACCTGCTGTTGTAGCGGATTAAAAATATTATACAGAAAAGGACTGAGACAAGCGTAGCAATCTTGTCAAAGTTTGAAAGGTCCAGTCCTAATGCAGTCAAATGTGGGATCAAATTCGCTTGTCCGAAGAGTCGGACGCCATTCGACAAGTTCGAAGCCTTTGGCAAATCCAAAAGCGTTGCAGGACCGAAGTCGAAGGCAAACGAGGACAAAACTTTCTGCACAAGATGCAACATGAGCACAAACAGCACTGCCGATCAGAAAGCTGTAGGAGTGCTGCTCAATGTGTTGACTGTCCATAACAACAAATGTGAATTTCCCCGGATTGTTTTAGTTGATCAGATCTGAGACGCTGATCAATCTCTGCTTGGCCAATCACTGCTTTCGTATTGCAAGTTGGTACCAAGCGCCTGATGCTTAGCTCACTTCAGCTTCTGCACACTTGCCTCACTTGCAAAGTTGCAAACTGCAGGGCAGAGGTCAAGGTTGCAGACTCGGAATCTTATACAATTTCCGGCAATATGTGATCAAATGATAGGATTATGTGCAGTAATTAGAAACATGAATTTAGAACTCTAATATACGTATGAAGGTTCAAAGTGCATTATAATCGGAACGGATACTGTATCATATTCATTCTTGGACCCCACACTAGAGCAAATAGATCCTGGGAAGCTTCCAATGTAAGTACTTTTGGAGCTGTCGATGAGGTGATTGTCCACGGTGACTTTGCTGGATAGTTCATCAGTTTATAACCACGAATTGATACTTAAGTGGAAATAATCTTCTTCCTGAACCCCACAGAACAGCTGGATTATTCATTTTTATCTTGAGAGCACTATGTTGGACTCTGCGTACAATGTAGAAAAGAATCACGAGAGGACGATAAGGCAGAGATGTCCGAAGAGGAAATGATCTAGGTGAACTCGTAAACCACATCCTTGATTACGACACCACATTTGTAAACATTACTGTGAAGGAGTTATAGGTCTGTCGGTTGAAGCCCTGGACATATTCCCTCGTCAGTTATACTGGTTCTAGTCAAGATGAAACTTTAAGGTGTGTGGTTGCATGAAAAGGTCAAGGGGCTCAGCGTGCACAGGAGGGCTTCGTGAGCTGCATGCCGGTAGGTAGTAATGAATCCCTAACACTGAACCTACGATGTCTATGGCTCCTCTTGTGAACTTTATTCGTTTTCAGGTGAAATATTGACCTTATTTTCTTTCTGTTGTCACGCGCTTGCATGCCTCTGCTCAATTGGCCTTTCACCTACATAAGCTTTGAATTCACCAGTGTTCTCTGTGTCGAATCCACCAGACAGGCGAGTCTGGTGCCCAGTCACCTGAATGCACACAACTTCAAGGACGCACATCTTCTCAGACTGTCTAGCCACTTGAGTTATGACTTGGGTTGAATACCGGTGTCAAAAATTCAATGTCAGAAATATGAGCGAAAACTTGGTTGAAAATGCTTAACGGCTGGATCCCTGAAGTGAAACTCCGGTAGCAACTTATTGTAGACTGGATGTGATGGTGACACCTCTGTGCTGCCAAGTGACGACTTGAAGTAAGACTGTGGTGCAGGAATGCACTTCCTAAGACAGCCCTCATCGAAATTGCGAGAACATGGAGTAACCTGTACTCCGATTTGTAGGATTTGTCATCTATTCTGCACCAGGTTCTCAGAATTGTTTGTTTCTTAGCTTCAAGATTACCTTGCCCAGTTTTTATTTAACTGGAAATGATAGTCAAATAACAGAAGTCAGATCTTGCAGATAAGTTCAGGTTAGCCAGTGCTAACATGCTCTTTTGTTAAAGACATCGAAACAACTTATATGTACTGCTTGAAGGGATACATTTCGTACAGAATCTCCAGATTGTTTTCACTTTTTGAATTCATTCAGTCAGGGAACTTCGTTACGTAGATAAATACGGAGAGATTGTGGGGATCGGGAAGCACGCCAAGTACCTTCTGGCCTCAGGAAAAATCTCGTATACATACATTACATAGGAGAAATGAGGAGTTCCAATTGCTGTATAGCCATGGCTATACACCATTTGTAGGTTTATGTACTTAAGTAAGATGCTTCTGAGTGAGAAACCTCTCCACCACTCGAGTCTCTTTCCCCGCGGATGAAAGCGGCTCGGACCTGCAGCTAGATGTCACCGTCATGCGGGATAATCAGCAGTGCGTTTGACGAAGTTTCAAGTTCACACGGGTTCATTGGTAGAGCAGACAGCAGATGCGAAGGGTGAAGCGCATCCGTTTTTTACTACAGATTGACAATCTCGAATGGAAGCTCTCCACTGGATCGAAGACCGGAAGGAATCTTAAGCAGAATGATAACTGACTGGGCTTTCATTCTTTAGCTGCGCTTTATACCATCGCAGAGTCTTGAATACCGATGGTGCCAGATGAAAACTCACACGTGAGCTGCTGGCAAGCAGCGATTGAGCGGGAGTGCGGCGCGCATTCGCATCCCTCACCAAACTCAGATCTGCTCCGACGACCACAGCCAGAGGATGGTCAAGTTGTGTCGATGAGCTCAGCATATTGGCGCTTTGATCATGGGACCACGTGAAACATCATCATTATCAAATATTGCCAGAAGCTCAACCCGCCGGTGAGCCATAGCTAGACTAGCAATCCTTCAAGGTCAAACAACACTTCTGGCTGGTTTAGGTAGCGACATTTTCCACTGGGGTCCCTTGTTATCTGCACCCTTGGAGCCCAGACAGACGCGTAGACGAGTATCATCGCGTCCCAATTCTGCCATTTTCGAGGTTACAACGGCATGCGCCTCGTGGGCATGAGGAGTGGAGCTTTTCTGCCCATGTTACGCTGCGGTCATGATTCTGTGAGCATGAGCTTACGGACCGACCACCTGAACGGAGAGGATGAGAGGTTGATGCATATCAGACCTACATACTAATCTTCAGAGCATCGTTCACAGCCTCCATATTGAATGTATTTTTAAGTCTGCGACTCTCGAGGATCCAGTTCAGATTTTGAAACATCAGTCCACCATGAGTGGGAGACTGATCTCAGCTGAGTTCCCAACGATTCGTCCAGGCCTTCTTTGATGTAGGCGTGGTTGCAACTTGCAAGCGCATCCCCCAGTCACCACAAAGCACATCCATATGACTACAGGCAGACATAAATTTAATCTGGACGTCCTAAATTGTGGGAACTGGGTGCTGTCGAGTACTTGAGCATGGGCATTGTGTTATACGGAACATGGTCGGACTCGAAACAGTGAAGTCAGATGAAAAGTTCTATTGCGCGTGTCTTTTAGTTCTCATAATTACACCTTCTACCACCCACATCCGCTTCACTGTTCCTTCACTTGGAACAATTCAGTACGAGGCTATTTTATATCGCAGGTTTCAAATCTCAGGGCTCACTTTCGCCCAAGCCCCTCATCCAAACTGAGTTTCTAGAGATAAGATGCCCAGTGACAATTCACGATCACCGTCCTTCGCTTTGGCAAGCACGACTGTAGCCCAAGCATCCAGTTCAGAGAATATAGTCTGGACATCGAGACGAGCATCCTCAACTGTGGTCGGGCGAATTGACTCAGGTCAAGACGGGAAACTGCAAGGGCGCAGTCATTAACCTCTAACTTTTTATAACGCTCACCAAAACGAAATCGTTGACCACATTTCCCATGATTGGTTGACTTCCGAGGTTTGACTCGACAGCAGATCATGCGTAGGGAACGTGGTGGGCGGGGTGGGGGGCTTCAACAGAAGATCCTCGACAAATCGAGAAAGAGAGGTTGAGCTTCAGAGCTCGACGATGCGCACACTGCCGAGTCGAGGTGAAGCTGTTGCTGGAGGTGGTGCATGGGGTCACTTCTTTTCAAAGCATTGTTTGCAGCTCTGCCAGCGAAAGGTACAACTGGCATTGTTGTCAAAAGGAGCGTGCCTGGCTCAGGGATGGAGTTGGTGCTGGTGCTGGTGCTGCTTCGCCACATGTTCAGGGCGATGTGAGAACAGGCTCGGTGGTCCCGCAGCCTTTGTCGCCGGTTACCAAGTGATGGGGAAGGTGGCCAGCGAAGAGGACCAATGTGCTTGTAGCGTGAGGAGACATCATCCCGTGAAGATCTGCACTCACCTGCTTGTGAGGTGCCATCTCGTCACAGTGAGTGCCACTGGATTCTCGATGTTCGGCTACTGTTAAAGTAAAGTTTAGGAGAAGGGAGGAACGCACATCAGTCAGTACTTGCACATGCATTGAGCTGTCGGATGGACAAGGTTGCAGAGAATGTGAGCTGATCAGCTGTGATAAATCCATGAATCTCTTCCGCAATTTTTTGCTTGATGTTTCCAGGAATTTTGGTTACAGCTTCTGTATGAATGCAATTTTTATCTCTTTTCAAAACGCGATGGGAATTCGTCCACTAGATCCGTCGGACCCTCTGTACACCAATAATTTCAGTGGTTTCAGCTAGGTCCGAGTCTTGCAATCATTGTTATTCAAGCCGACGCTGTGACCTGTACATTCTTCGCACAGTTTACCGTGCAAGCCTTTGATTCTCGTGCACGTGAGCAACATAATCGGATCCTTCTGGAACGGATCCAGAGAATTCGGCTTCCATGTACACACTCATACAAGATAGCCCAGTCTTGATCGACTTGTGCGTGCTCTCACAACCCAACAAACGAATTTCTGGACGATGACAGATTCAATGTTCTCATTGTGATTCTCTCGCGCGACCCAAGTACCTGGGCTACAGCCTTTTCGTAAATCAAGCCTTATTTTCAGAAGTATCTGTAGGAAAGCCTTGACGTCATGATTTTAGACTTTGCTTCATCCGAGGATGATAGACTTTCGGAACTGCGGTTCGCATGTCTCTTGCGCAGTTTGTTCTGCCTGCTCAAATTTTTGGAACTTATGGAAGTGTTCTAAGTTTCTATTCTACGAGATGTATGGACTTGCACAAAGACTTACCCCAGGAGCGATTGATGATAGAAATTATTGATTCCTGAAGGGATCAGTCAAGAAGTCATCAGGGCCCTGAAAGTTCATGGAGAATCATATATCCTTCTAGGCAATATACTAAATAGAGCATGGTGAAGCTGAGTATTCGAGCATATTAGATTTGAAGTTGCACCAAAAAGTCACAAAGATTTCGAACGGTCTATCATCACTGACCTTTCCAAATTGATTTACCCAATATCCTCATCTATTCCTGAGACATTCCGAGGTATCCATCGACCGAAGAAGATACACGGTTCTGCAAGGTGGATGCGGAATTATTGCAATCCACAACTAAATTCATCCACGTGTAGCAAATTGCCGACGTTAAAGCATCTTGAGAGATGTCCAATTTCAGTGGGTAAGTGACAAAATGACCGAAGGATTCGTAGATCATAAGCCACAAACCTCAGCTGAAAGGACGTGTACAGGATGGCACTGTATCGTTTTGAATCTCCTTCTCTGCCATCTTTAAACCTGTCGAACCAGACAAGATGTCATTTTGACGACTGCGTTCATCTTGTTTGCTTTCTTACGGTAGGTGACGGACTTGCCCCTATTGATGACGTTTAGATTAAAACGTACCTGTATACACTGAAATGAATACGTGGCTGATAATGGTAGTTCAAGGTCCATCCACATAAGACTCTGTCATGCCGAAAATACTTGCTCAGCCCCCTTCTTCATCAAGATGTTCTTCGGGAATTCAACTCCTTTTTCACCGAGTTCCAAGCAGAGACTCATATCGTTAGCTTACGCAATGTGAAGTTACTTCAAGCGACTTGCATATCATACTATCAGAAGTCGACCTTCTGGCCTTCACCGAGCTCTGCTCTGGTTTTGGTGGCCTTCTGCTTTCCATGCAATCTTTTATTCATGTTATGCTCGGACATTCAGTTCCAAATTTCTACAAACAGTTGATAACAACAGATGTTACACGACATGCCGAGAAGTCAGACATATGACTGCATTAGAGTTGATCAAGTGAAGTTTGAGGTTTATAACCCGACTGGTGAAACGTGTTCTATGACGGAATTTTTAGAATGCGATCTCTAAGTTACAACGTCGTGCTCACCTGCATTTGTAAGTTTGAGAAGACATTCTTAATCTCTCCAGATGAGACATTCTTAAGAACCAAAGTCTTGGATTATCCCATTTGCGGAGCCCACATATACAGGAGCTGAACGGAACCAGAATTTTGACAGGTAATGGGGACATGGCGATGGTTCTTCACAGTAGAGGCAACGGAGAAACGGAGTTGCGCCTGCTTGCAAAATAACCCACATGTAGAGCAAGGACACGAATACTGGGGATTTTGTAGTCTCAACATGTAAATTTTTTCTCGAGGACATAGCTTGAGATCAGAAGCGCTTGAGAAATGCGCTCGACTGTAGACACTGCAGTTTTTGGAAGTCTTCAAATCAAGTGATCTTCGTGGGGACAGCACGCTGACATCGAAGACAGCCGATGCCGAGCTGCGATCCTGACAGGTCCTGGACCGCGTGTAGAAACAAGGGTCCTGCGGGTTGGGCGAACGCGTATACTCCATGAACAAGGCAATGTGTCTATCATAATGGAAAAATTGGACTCTATCGTGGTTTGTTTCAGTCCTTCACCACGAAACTTTATCAGAACTGTTACGCTTTCAGCTACTTGATGCATGACGACCACCTGGATCTCGATACACTAAAAGTTCAAGCGATCCATCGAGAATTCTGTGCACGGACGCACGAGCTCTGTGCTAGGGCCAAAGCGCAGAATTGCATCTTTCTACAGATGTCAGAACTCCAAAAGACAATCGCGTAACTCGTTTGGCACATGTACGAGGGCAGAGAATGTTGGAGCCATGGCCGACAGGTGGAGTCATGCAGACACAGAGCCTTAGATTTTAGAGGCGAGCCGTCCAACAGGAAAATCTCAACAGCTCCCTCTGTACGTGTGTGAGAATAAAGGCTATCATCGTAAACTAGGAATTTACTATATGCAGCATTACGTTACTCGAAATCTGTTCAGGGGCTCTTGCAACAAGGTGCCATAAATTTGCAGAAGGATAAACGATTCGGATGGAGATATGTGACCGTCGAGCTCGACAGACACAAGATGAAGGCAGGGAACTGAGTTCCAGCTTGCGGACATTAGAAACTGAACTCAATGGACTTTTCACACTTTCAACCTCGCAGAAAAACAAGGTCCTCACATACTCACTCAAGTACTCGTGAATGATCTTGTCAGCGAAAGAATCGTGAACATGACTGGAAGTATATACATCCGAGTCGAAGCTGCTCAGCAAGGTCACAGAGAATGTCAGCAAGCTCATCACACAGAACAGACTCTGCAGGAGTAACACAAGGATCTGTTGCTGTTTCGGCTGCTCCACTGCACCGAGTGTTGCGGCAAAGCGAACACCTCCTAACTCCTTACTGCCTGGAGATAGCTCACTGCTCCGAAACGAGAACCTTATCTGAATCTGAAATTTACGTTGTGGAGAGGAGACATACATCCCTACTGAAACATCAGAGTGGCGGTGACTCGTTTCAGCTGCTCGCCATGCACGCGCATACGAAAGGCAGACTGGATAAGCAGTCTGATTCACCACTCACACGCGTTCGAGTTTCCAACGACGCCACGGCTCTGACATCAAGGCCCTTTTACATCTGACACCCAAAGTGAATCACGAGTATTGTGGGCCCTGACGGGATGGGGGTCGTGTGTACCTCGATTGCGAGAAGTCGAGAACACTCCATACACCTGCTGAGTGCTGAGTGCTGACTGAAAGAAGAAGACGAGGTTAGCATACCTCGTCACCAGAAGCCTGGAGGTTAGCATACCTCCAGGCTTCTGGTGTGGGTGGGAGGAGGAGCTCTTTTTGGGCGAGTGGAAGGCTGCAGCTCGAGGTTCTTAATGGCCTCTGAACTTGGAGCACGAGTCCATAGTTCCGGGGCGCGAGAGCCCACCCCCAGAATAGATAAGGTCGTCCCCCATCTTTGGGTGGAAACAGTCAAGTCCAACGAGGGGTACATCGCTATTCATCGAGCCATGAGCTGTCTGACGATCTTCATGTTTCCTCCCCAGGCCGAGCTAAATGTGGTAGATTCTATATCGAAGAACTTGAATCTCAGCCTATATCTGCTCTTCCGGGTGGAACAGGCAAAATCGCTATATTAGTGGGCACCACGCAGTTCTAGGCGAGTTTCTAAAGCAGTACGTCCCTCGAACAAGGGCATAGTCCAATCGTCCGTTTTGTTTTGTCTCAAGGAACAGGGAGCAAATCCACAAACTTCCAACTCTAGATTGTGGTTTCTAGGAACTGGAGACGACGAATAGACAACGCTTCATTCATTCTTGACTAGATTAATAGCAGCCATCCTCATCCTCCTCCTCCTCATCATCATCATCCATGTGATGATGCGCCAGTTCTTCCCTCCGAGGGAGAAGATGGGCTATATGGGAGCACCTCGTCTGACTTGGTACTACCTTCAAGTTCCTCAGCAGCCTTCTCTGAAACCTCCGGTGGTGGGAGCACACCACCAGTCGTGACTGAGATTGTTGGCAGCGTGCAGAAATAGTGAGATATGCGAATTGGATGAATTTTTACCCCACCTTCTCTAATTCTAGCGTCACATTTGATCCTCTGGCTCGATTCGGGAAGCTAAGGTGGCGTGTATTACTTTCGAAAGCTGCAGTTGAGATCAGAAAGTCAACCGTGTGATATGGACAACTCGGGTTACTCATTTCTTACACCTAGCGTGCCCTTTGGTGTCGTTTTTGGGTTTTTATTTATTCTGTAATTCATCTCGCTACAGGCGTTCATGACTTGGGCGTGAAGAAGAACTTCATCCACATCCCTATCGATGGGGGTCGATAATATTGCCCACCTAGGGACACCGACCCGTCTCTAGGAACTAATGTATATCTCCCTATTTTGCGACAAACGGTGTTGATACTTTTTCAGCTGAATCAGTCACTTTAATCAATGACTCCTGACACCTCAGTTGACTCCCAAACGAAGTTTTGGCAGCCCTTGGAGTCTTGCGCTACGATTTTGGCCGGTGGAAAAATATCTCAGGTCAGCTAGTCTACAAGGGGCAACCCCTTTCGGTGGTTCCTGCTCTACGATTTTCTTCCTAGAAATTTAATGAATGTAGCAGCTTCGTGATGATTATGCACCGCAACTTTGTTTCTGGAGACAAATTCCACGGTATTAGGCCAATGGCTGTCCATTCTCACGTTGCATGAAGAGTGTTGTAGAGCGCACTACCGCGAAATGAAGTCCACGAAGCTGATCTTTTACCAACGATTTTGAGATCCCCATGTACTCTGCGTCGAAAGGAGGTGGACTAAAAAACGAGGCCCCTGTTGAGAAACATTTGGCTCCTTGTTGGGTCTCACGAGCCTGGCTTATAATACGGCAGCAAAGCTCAACCAGTGCCCCCACCTCCAAGGCAAGCACCCATCATCATGTCCTGCGAAACAGACTTCAACATTCAGTTCCAGCTTTCACAACGTCGTAGCTAGCATCCCAAGACCTTCATCAGTGTGACTCTGCTTGCTCAAACTCGAGTTCGTCTTCCGTGTGCACCGTCTGAAATCCAACTCTCACTGTACTGATCGACACCTTGGGGCTGGAGCGTTGAGAATCTCCAAATTTAAGGTCTTCTCACTTCCAAACTTTAATGAAGTAAGGAATTAGTAGCAAAGTGGATGGGCTGATCCATCGACTGGAACATGATCAAACCAGTTGGGTGGTATAGAAATAGGCCGCAATAACGTCGAAACGAGGAGTATGTCGTAATATATCTAAGAGATCGGAAGTGTATACACACTACGCATTAGCGAACATCTACAGCAGAATCTTAGTTTGCACCATCCGATTCATATGGAGAGTATGGACATGAATTATTTTTAAAATGTTATAAAATAAGTCGATAAGAGTAATCCCTTGTGTCATTTAACATGGTAGGTTCTCTCAGTAAGTTGTTGAAGCCACCATTCATAGCTTTATATATATCCACATCTTGAAGAACAGATAGATGATGATCTTCTATATACCGATGTTTGGAAACCTTGGCGAGTTTTTGCTCCACATCATCCGGAAGGATATTCACCTTATACATATTCTTTGTCATGCGGACGAAATACAATAGATTGTCTGCAACTCTCGAAATAGTTATCTATAAGAGATTGAACAGTGACCCCTCCATAACATAGTCAAACTGACAACCTATCACCATAATGTTTGCAATAGTAACATCATAATCTTGAACGAGCTATAGTTCAGCAAAGCTTCAAATCATGAAAGCGAACCTTACGTATGATATATTCAGTTTTGTAGCATAGAAAGCATCACATACTTGGTAGTATCTTCAGAAGATGTCCTCTACATAATGTGATGCATGACTCATGCATCATCAGTATCTTATGCAGCATAAGTATCTTCTGGCTCTAAAAAATGACACACTCTTAGACGAAGATGCAAACGAGTGGATCAAGTCAATACAATAGAGTAGATATAGTAGTTGGTGCGAGTTAAAAAGCTATGATGCATGGTTAAGTCAAGAGTACGAGAGTATCGTTTTTCATCACATCAAAAGAGGCAGTACCAAGTATGGATGCATACGATTTTTATTAAAAAAAATACAGACATATTTAAAACGTCTGAAATAAACACGATCTTTATTTAAGACGTCTTTTATTTGTAGACGGGCGAACTCTATGTACAACTCATGTACCTACAGATAAGAGTTGCTGCCGCCGGTTCAAATCTTGCAGGCTGAACTTTTCTTTCACCAAGTGGAGGTAGTTCCTTCCACTTCTGAAAATTTATAGTGATACAAATGACACCAGGGAGTGTAATGTTATTATAGAGTTGAGCTGACTTGTCTGAAAATCTTAAAGTGACTTCCTGATTTTATTCACATTAGTACACTCAAGACATTATGCACATTTTAAATCCTGTAAATAATGCAAGGGTTAGAAAATATTTTGATACTTCAAATCATCTCGGTATAAGACCAAAATGGCTATTTTTGAATATGAATTTATCACATGCCGGGTCAATCATGCATGGTCATGTCGTTGAGTTACAGCAATACTTTGTTAGAAACTGCATTCCAACCAAGCAATATAGTAGTGAGGAAAAGAATAGCTAGCTGAAGATATAAATGCTCCCAAGTTTCCGGATTCTAAACATTTTAAATACTATATTTAAGACGTATTAAACTTATGGAAATGTTCAAAATTTTCCAATTCCATCTCGAACGCATCAATAGTCCAAGGTGGAAGAGGATGAATTTGATGGTAGGCGACTGCCATCCTTTTCTTCACACACAGATCTGTCTTGGCGCTATTCTAACTGAAAGCCTAATGATCTCCCGATCCGCAGGCTAGGCTGTCAGCTAGTAGATCGCTGGTCCCGCTCCTTGTGCAGTTTAGGGTTTAGGGCTTCTTCATGGGGTCCTCTTGTGCACCGGCTACAATGCTGCAATACACGGAAGGTCGAAGCACGAAGATGACCCTCTTTCCTCCCATTACCCTTCTTAGGGTCCCATCTCTATTACATAAATTTTCTCCTTGATAATAATTATATATATATATATATATAATCTTCATCACCAAACATATAATTTTCACTACAAATCTTCACAATACCAAGCTGTAAAAATTTCACACTCCGAAGAAAATTAACTTGTACTAAACTAGGACCCAGAAATACTTAAAATTTTAAAAAAACTTCTAAAACGATTACATACAATTCCAAAATAATTTTTTAGAACAAATCTAGTTATCTACAGATCTTATTTCAAAATGTTTGTACGAGATATCAGAGCCTGAGCAGGGTGTTTGTTCGGGAACCCTGCAGTGACCAGGTGATCCATCGATCACGATTCCATGAACTGGGTTACTCGTAGACTTGATTAAAACCGGAAAGATGGCTCTCTTGAAAGAGTCATTGCATGTTAAACTAAAACATTTCCTATTTATTGGAGCCATGGAGAGTTCGGTATGCAGCAGCAGTAGTTCCTACTGAGATATTCTCCTCTCTCTTCGCAGTACCTGCACAGATTTTGCTACAATGCATTCTAGAAACTTTCCTGAAACTGTGCATCGGCACTCCATGCACACTGCAGTTGAGAGTTCGCAGCCAGAAAACGCTACTGAGTCTTTGAGTCGGTGAGTGACTCACCAACAGTGTGTGACTGTGTGACTGGTACAAAAATGTAAGCAAGAGAAGAGAGTCATCGTCTAACCCGGAGATACTTCTGGTTTAAGACGCACTGTCGTTCCCAAGCGAGTCAAAAGGTATCATGACATTTCAATGTGTTAATCTCCCAAATGGTGCCCAGTTATCTGCACGACACCATTTTTCCCTGATCTATGGGTTTAGTCTTCAGTTGTACCTGAGGTAGAGTTGCAGTTTATAATACGGACCACATAATTCAAATTAGGAGGACGTCACGCCTAGGATTACTCCTCTGGCCGTCGAAAGGATGTGGATGATGGCTTCACAATTACATATACTGCCCTGCCCTGCCCAAAAACAAACTCTCATGAAAGGATGAGCAAGTACGAAGGTGGTATAGGTGGCATCAGCCGAAGTAAACGGCCTGAGAGGAGACTAGACTACAGCTGAAGGAGCTCCGTGGATGATCACTCTCATCTCGGGTGATCACTGATCACTGATCGACTCGCTTAGTTGCACAAACTTTTACAAACGGCCGTACTGCCAGGTGTCAGGGATCCCAGTTTCTTTCTCCTCTTTCTTTCTTTCTTCATCCTCCCTTCGGGCTGCCCCGGATCAGCCGGATTTTATCTCAGTTTTGGGAACGGGGAGGCGAGGCACTTTGTGGGGAGGGCACTTTGCGGCAACCATGTAGAGGCCGCAACGTTGTATCTAGTGCGTTGCAATGATCTACGCCGTAACAATGATCGCAGTCGTGTCATGGAACGTTGCGGGAAAAAGAACTAAAACTGAACTGCAAGAGGGATAGCTCAGATGGAATCCCTAATGTTCAGACTGTAATATT